GGGATAATAGACAGTGTTCAGACTGCATTTTTTTGTAATAAAAATCTTTATTAAAAAGTAAGAAAATCTAATGAAATAAAAATTAGCACATATAAGTATTCCTAGGGTGGTTCTCTTCAAATCCCCTTTTAAATTAAAATTTCTTATTATAAAAAACTCTCACATAAAATAATAAAAGGACAATTAAATAAACCAAATTACGTAATTAGATTTTATTATGAAAGAGAACTAATAATAGCTTTTTTTTCTCTCTCCATACACCCCATACGTAATATCCGATGTTATGATTTTAGAATAATATGTAGAAAGTAAATTTAATAATTTTAAAATTATGTAGAGTGTGTATTTAGAAGGAGATGTAGAGAAGAAAAATTAGGTGTGTGTATAGCACTGTTTTCATAAGCGTCTATCCCATAAAAAAAAAATTAGGTGTGTGTATAGCACTGTTTTCATAAGCGTCTATCCCATAAAATTTTTTTTTTTCTATAAATAATTTCCAAAAATACATAGCTTGCGTTGATAATTAAGAGTTTAGTAAATATCTGAACTTTAAAATTAGAGATTTAACCTAAGGTACTATTTACTCGAAAGCAATTATATATATATATATATGCAAATCACTCTCTGCAGCTAAAGATAGAGAAATTAATCGTGCTAAAGTGAGAGAAATCGTGATTATTTTAAATTGTTTAGATTTAAGATCCAGAAAAGAACCATAAGGAATCGATTCAGTTAATTATGGGCTTGATATTCATATCGCTAATTACAATCTACAGCCTGAAACGTCTTGATCGATAACATTTTTCAAAAAAAAAAAAAAAAAAAAAAAAAGAAGGAAAAGTTTATCTAAGGGCATATTATAGTACTTTTTTAATTGAAATCTTGAGTACTTCGCCAGAAGGTTAGTACTTTTTTTAGGAGAAAATTATAACATATTAATAAATTATTGGACTCGTGAGATCTTACCATTTTCCTAGTGTAGGTGAAAGGTCTTAATCTTTCCTAATTGGTCTTTTCTTTCATTATTTAATAGGTGACAATAGCTTGAAATTTTCTCTATTGTACGTTTCACCGTACACATAGGTACTATACAAACTTATAAATATATATTGAGCCCACGAGATTAATTAATTGGTATATGACATTACTTTCCTGTGCGGTTGTCAACGTATAGAAGATGTAAAGCCAAAATTGATGACTAATTAATAAACCAGAGAAAAGTGTGGAACCCTCTTGAGCAAAATGGGAAAATGATTAATTTGCATGCTCGGAGCTTGGGTTTATTTGTTTTTTCTTTTTTTTTTAAGAGAAATAGTAAAAAATAGGTTAATATGAAAAGCTTAAGAAAGTATATAGGCCAATTTTTAATTATAGAAATTAATAGGTCATAATTTGTCAAGTTATGGTTCATAATCAGATAAGTTATGGATAAATTTGTCAAGTTATGGTTCATAACCAGACAAGTTATGGACGAAAACAATAATTTAGCCTATTTATTAACTTATGTAAACTATTAGCCTATTAATTTTAATTCATCGCAAATCTTAACCTATTTCCCTCTTTCTCTCTTTTTTTAATAACTTCGATGCATATAAATTAAATTTGTAGTGGTCCAACCACAAGTATTGTTTCTCAACAAACTTGGTTGAATAGAATGACATTGCTTAATTTCTATAGCTTAATAAGGCTGCTTAAAATAATATTTCAAGAGAGCGAGACACCAAAAGATTCTGGAATCCTTTTCAAAAGTTAAATATATTAATATTTCTACCACGAATAAATGATATTTTGTTGGTTATACATAGATGAAGATATTATAGACTTAGCTTGGCATATATAATTCTGTCCAAACATATAAATAAGTTCAAATTTTCCCACCTAGGGGTAAAAAAAGAAAAAAAAAAAGAAAATTCAGAAACTTTTGGGGTGAAATTTAATTCGTTCTTGAATTCATGAATTTCTATAAGTTAACTATATATTGAGAACAGGCATGCATGCACAGTTCTCCGAGCTAGAACGACAAAAAAGAATTTTATTTATCTTGTCAAGACCCAAGGGATGTACGTCGCGCCTCTAAACCTCAAATGACGAAACATAATTTAGGTTTCTTATTTATACTAGGATGAAAATAACCAAGTGGAAAAACTTGCAGAAAAGCATATATATATATATATATAATATATTGTTATATCAGTTTTCGTTTTTTTTTTTTTTCCCTCTGTTTTGCTTGAAATCAGTTTAGTATAAGTTGATCATATGCATTACTCGAATTGGCAAAATTAACCTTTAGATTTAATGACGAACTTGTCATTTTGTTGTGCTAAAGGAGTCAAGCCAATAATCGCCATATCCCTATCATCATTATAAACAATAAGATAACTTTATGTATGCATGTGCTACATAGATCATGAACTTCCTTTTTCTAATTTTTCTTTTCTTTATTTGAGAACATAAATGAAAAAACTAGATCAAAGAAGACTCTTAAAAAGCATTGATGTAGATGACTACCATATTTTCATTATCATATTGCTCTATTATCTCCAAGAGTTTGGTAACTTAGGATCTTTCTAGCAATTAAAGTGAAAAGGTTATATAATACCCACTTTTTGCCCATGCACATTGCAATGATCTGTTTTTTTTCCTTAAAAGGATACTTAGAAGAAAAACATAAATAAAAGTGGATGTATATATATATCCCAACAGTAAATATATATTTTTTTTTCAATTATATTTCTTTTGGTTAATTAAAGTGGCATTCTAAAGCAATTGACAATTTCCTGCATAAATAGTCCACATAGGAGGCAATGCATTCATTGGGTTTTGGTCACATATATATTGGTCAATTTACACTTATTCTCTATATATCTCTTTTGAAAACTGCTGGCTTGAATCTTTTTACCATTTATGCAAGTGTCAAATTTGCCTACAGTATTAGTCAATTATGATGCATAAACATGTTGGACTTTCTCTAATTCTACATTTATCTGTGTAATACTAAACTTCCCAAGTTTCAAAAAGCCCATGTCACATGTTTTTCCCTTCTTTCTTTTATTTTTTGATTAATAATTACAAAAAACTCCTAAACTTTACCCTTTGTAACACTTTGCCCCCTAAATCTTTAAAAATGTAACATCTGTTTCTCTTGAACAATGAAATGTTAATAAAAAACATCACATCCATTAAGTTTTTAACAGAAATTGACATTAAATTTATTATTTTGAAAGTATTTTGGTAGTCTTATGGTTAAAATTTAGTTTAATTTAAAACTAATTTGAATTTGAATTTTTTATTATGATAGATCCATTATGGATTGAATGTAAGTTAAAAATTTTATGAATCTTTTTTTGGAAGAATAAAAAATGTATGAAGTTTTTTTTTAATATTTAAATTAGTTTAAGTTCAAATTAAATTTTAAAGGATTAATTTCAAAAATTCCCCCTGAACTATGACCCTTGTAACACTTTGCCCCCCGAATTTTAAAACATAACATTTGTTCCCCCCGATCTTTATTCCGTTAACAAGTTTTCCCCTTTTATTATAATAAGTGACGAAATTGTCACGTGTCACTTATTTAGTGAGAATTGAAAGAGAAATTAAGCTTATACCCTCCTAATCATATAATTCTCTATTTTATTGAAAAAATTCACCATCTTCGTTCCCCATTTTTCTTCTTTTTTCCTCATTTTGTTTATGGATGGGCCAAGCGGAAGACCCACTGACTCTTTCTCTTACGACTCAATGAAGTTGAATAAGCATTCCCGACATAACAATTATATTGAGATTTCGAGCATTGATTTGATCTTTCATGATCCTGCTCCATCTGCTCTCAATACATTGATTCATCAATCCACTCATGATGATATCAATGCTAGTAATCTTCCTTTACGGCAGTCTCATTGCCATATTTCTGAGAATAATCATTCTGATATCGTTCCAAAAGAAGAGACATTGGCGGATATCTCTTTGAATATATCCAATTCTGTTTATAGAAATTCGAAGAGATTTATTGCAGTTCTCTCTCTTCTCTTACTCTTAAATGCATGCATAGAGAAGACTGAGCCCAAAGCATTGCAGTTGAACAGATCAGCAAAGAATCTCTTAAATATCAACAACGATAGAGAATCTCTATAGTTCAAGATCTGGGTTTCCTTTCTTTAATACTTAGAAGGGTTGTTGCAAGTTAATTTACGATAATACCCTCCTCAGATGGATCATGTGCATGATACGTGACAAATTCTGTCACTTATTGTAATAGAAGGGGAAAAGTTGTTAACAAAATAAAGTTTGAGAGGAATAGATGTTACGTTTTAAAATTCGGGAGATAGAGTGTTACAAGGATCATAGTTCATAAAAATTTTTTGAAATTAATCAAATTTTAAACCATAAAACTATAAAAATACTAATGAAGAAGGTTTTTTTTTATTAAAATTTCATTGTTGAGAAAGAATGTATATTATAATTTAAAGATAAAAGGTAAAGTATTATAAAGAGTGCGATTGAAGGAGAATTTTTGTAATTAATTCTTTATTTTTTTTGTAGGTTACGTTCCGTATGATGAACAATTAATATCAATTTATTAATAAACTTTAATCACAAAATTCTTCCACTTCAATCGGTCGTCCAAGTGATCAAGTCATGATTATCAAACAATGACGAAAGATGAAATCACAGGTGTAGCTATAGAGACGTTTTGGCCATTCTCAGCGTAAAAAATAATAAACAAGACGAAAAATTAGACCTTTTGGCTTAAGCGAACATAATTCATATACATACATACATACATACATACATACATATATATATATATATACATACACACACACACATAACATATATGTATTAATCGAAGTCCAGACTTGACCAAGGCAGCAGCCAATAAAAATAATAATATTCTCTCTTCTTCTAATAATAATATACTATTAGAAGAAGCTTCTACTACTTAGAAAGTATATTTAGGATCATCAAGATTACAGTGTACAGAGACAGAGATATCTTCAGATATGGAGGTGGAAAAGGTCATGAGTACTAGCAATAATTGTAATTATAATATTACTGTAGAAGATAATAACAATAAAACTAAGGAAGAAGATGAAGGTGCTCAGCTTCCAGGGTTTCGATTCCATCCAACTGATGAAGAACTTGTTGGATTTTATCTCAAGAGAAAAGTGGAGAAGAAGCCCATCAGTATTGAGCTCATCAAACAGATTGATATCTACAAATACGATCCCTGGGATCTTCCAAGTAAGTTTTATAATTTTGTATCCAATATCTCTTGCCTTTGTTCACATATATTTATGTATATGCAGTGTATGTGTATATATATTATAGATCCACGTTCCATCTTTTTCATCTTTTATCCTAGATGGTCATTATATATAGATAGATAGCAATAAGATTCATCGAAGAAAAACAAGTAAAAGCTAGCTAGCGATTGGATTAATATATGTCACACAGATCAGAAATCATATTTATCTACTACAGGGTTTATGTTCTATGCCATATTATGAGCTCTCTAAGTATTTTCAATCCATTCGAAAACAATTTTTCCTCAGGATCGAATATAATTATATACTGATAAAAAAATCTTATAGTATGTATACTAAGCATATCGTAAATATTATAGCCATGAAAAGAAAGGGAGAAAATTTAAAGAAGAAGAATAATATTCTGACATTTGAGACTATTTCCTACCAGCCGGCCCCTGTATTTATCATGTACACACAAGCTGCAGATAAAATACAGAAATTTCCCCCAAAAAAATAATAATATAAAACAAACAAAAAGCTCTCTATATGTCTATATGGTTCCAAAGTCAAATTAGTGAAGTCATGAGTTTGTGAAACTTACAAACAAGAGCTTGCACCATAAGCGTACCTCAGAGTTAGCTAGCCTCATGAAACCTAATGACGAATTCCTCTCCCGATTCATTGAGAAGCATTAAATATTCGTAATTACAAAGAACCGTTTTTTCTAAGAAGGAAACACGTGTGTGTGTGTATATATATATATATATATATCATCGTATATAATTGCATTGAGTTCAAATTCAAAATTTTTCGGTAGTAGTGGTTCTCAACTCAGTCCAGAGTAAATTCTTCACTTATTTGTAATATATATTGAGGCTTAAAGTACAAATTGAAAATTTTCAGTTAAAATTTATTTATTTACGAGGTATAGTAATTTGTGAATGTTCCCTTCAAAAAACATTTATTTTTTGAATGCTTTCAGTGTGTATTTAGACCAAGTTAGTTTACCAATTTTGTCAAGAGTACAACTACATGAATTTGAACTCTAAATCTTGTTTTTTAATGTCATATTAGTTTACTAATCTATTAAATTTAACTTGTTAGGAGGTGTGAGTCAATACTAATTGCACTCACCCTCACGTATGGGTTGAACTATGAGTAATAAAAAATGATTAATTTCAAAAATTTCTCTCGAACTATGACCATTGTAACACTTTGTCCTTCAAATTTTAAAAAGTAACATCCGTTCCCCCTAAATTTTGTTCCGTTAACAAGTTTTATCATTCTGTTACAATGAGTGACGAAATTGTCACATGTCACTTATTTAGTGAGAATTGAAGGCGCAATTACACTTATACCCTCCTAATTAGATAATTCTACATTTTATTGAAAAAATTTACCATCTTCATTCCTATTTTACTTCTTTTTTTCCTCACATCGTTCATCCATGGCAAGTTCCTGTTTTTTTTTTACCTTGCCACCCTTTGTTGATGCTTCATTTTCTTCATTTTCCTCAACCACCACACGCTCATCATCACCAAGCACTGGACCTTTTCCCTTCCTTCTCTCTAGTCCTTGTAATGTTTGTTCAACTGTGTCACCTATATCAATTTTATCTTCGGACTGTGCAAATTCAGAATCATCAAATCCAGAATCCGAATGCTCATAATCATCATACTCAGAATCGGAATGCTCATAATCATCTCCACTAATTGTTGGACTCCCTCCTATGAAATTCAGAGTAAGTTAACATACCTCTTCTAACTTATGGAAACTAGAAGGATAAAGCTTGAACAAATGCTTCTCTACCGCTCGCATCAACATACAGAGAGAGAAAGAAGATAAAACAAAAATCTTAAGTTTTCAATTGAATTTTTTTATTTTTTTATTTTTTTCGTCACAGAAGAATCTTTTTCTGAACAACAATACCATAAAAAACATCAAGACTTTTGAACAAATGCTTCTCTCTGCCCCACACACAGAAAGGTCAAATGTTGTGGTCCTAATACGCTACATATCACAAAATCTTTCTTCAACCGAACTGAATATACCCACAGTTAACTCAAAGGAAAATTTATAAGAAAACCCAACACGATTGCATGGTAAAACAACAAAACCCGACTAGATGATATGGTCAAACAAGTTTAGCAATTAACAAACAGATTTAGCAAGTATTCAAAAAAAGGCAACAAATAAAGGAAAGAATGAGCAAACTTACTGTCAATAGGATTAAAATCACTAATATTTCCCCATGTTACAGCCATTGAGAGTGATTCACCACGGAAATTTACAATGAAGATTGGTTTTTCCTCAGATTTTTTCTTTTCGGGGGAAAAGTTCTAACCCTAACACAGCCAAAAAAATCGACAAAATGAGTTTTTTTTAACGCATTTGAGTTTTTTTAATAACCTAGGGTCGTTGCAGGTTAATTTATGATAATACTTTCCTCAGATGGGTCATGTACCTAACACGTGCTGATTTTCATCACTCATTGTAACAAAAGGATAAAACTTGTTAACTGAACAAAGTTTGGAGAACCCGATGTTACTTTTTAAAATTTAGAAGGCAAAGTGTTACAAGGGTTATATTTAGGGGGAATTTTTGAAATTAATCCTAAAAAAAATGCCACTTAAAAGACATTATCTTTATATTGTTTCCACCAAGATATGTTTAATATTCTACTAGATTATTTTTTCTTCTCGTAAAAATGACAATACATCTACAACTTTGGTCTTCGACTATCAGAATATATATTTTACTTAAATCAACAAAGAAAATAAGAAACTAGATGGTATAAATATAAAGCTGTGGGGTTTTGGCGGAACATTATCTTTAAATATATTAATTAGAAAGCATAACACGTGAATATTAAATAATAGAGGAAAGGAGACAAGTACTTTTATAGTGCATGGGTCTAGATTTTTACTCCTCACTCTCAATTAATATCATTTTTAGTCAAATATTTATATTAGTCAAAATGGTATTAATTATAAATAAGGAGTAAAAATCCTGACCCGTGCACTTTAAGAATAAGTTCGGCAATTTTCTCTAAATGATAAACCCACAACATAATAAAGACCCAACACGTGATGATAATTTAGAGACTTAGAATCTACTGCTCTGAAATATGCCATATTAGTTTTTCAGTTATCCTAAATGGTAAAGTTGTTAGAAGGCAACAATAGTTTTATTATATTCTAACAGTCCAAGTTGCTTAATTAAAAGAAAAATTAAGGTGCCGTTTGGTAACTTTGGTTAAGTTGTTTTGAATCTAACAGCCTGTTTAGAATGTATACTCAAACTATGATTCTTAATTCTGAGGTTTGAAATTAAATTTTTTTTTAAAGAAAAACATTATAGCAGAATCAATGATTTGAGTTTAAGTATATGAAATAAACATGTCTTAAAAGTTCAGTGGAACTAGTACTTGGTAACATTTTTCCATTTTGAACTTTTAATTAGGCATTTTGAACGCAAAACAACATCCTTTTTCGGATTACCCTTTGTTTCAACATTTTGAACCCTATTGTGTAGTGTTTTTGTCTCAAAAAAATCAGATCCCCTCTGTTTTCAGCATCCGATCTTTATTTTCAATACAAAACTAAACATAATTTCATATTTTATTTCCTTTTCAAACTTATAATCAACCCCATATCCAAACACTATTTCAAACTACAAAGTCAAACCACATTTTTCAAAATTTTTATTTTAATTAAAAAAATTAAACCACCATATTTTGAACCTATTAAATTAATGGACGTCTCAGGTTTGTTCTTGAAATGAGCTTTTTTTTTTTTTTTTTGGAGAATCTGAAACGAGCTTATTGACCCTGTTACAATATCATTTATGCCATGAATAACATCTTCCTTTAGTACACAATAAAAACAAGGGTATTTTAGCAGATTTGCTCCCCATACTTGTTATGGTTTAGCAAATTGCCCCCCAAACTTTTAATTTTGATAAGTTGTCCACTCAACTTGTAAAGTTGTTATAATGTCTCATTTTGATGACGACTATGTTAAATTAATGTTAAAAAAGCACGTTTAACTAAAAATTTTAACATTTCAATTCAAATGTAACACAAATCTTTCAATATCTCAACTTGTAATCCCATAAATTCAATAAAAAATTTGAACAAGTTTAGTTAAATGAAGCACATTATAAAAAATTTATAAGTTCGAAGAGTAACTTGCCAAAATTAAAAATTTAGGAGACAATTTGCTAAACTACGACAAGTTCGATAGATAATTGTGGCAAAACCCCTAAAAACAACATTAGGCTTATGCATTGATCAAGAATGCCAAAATATATACAACAACTCATATGGACTTTTCAGCTTTGAATATATATATTAATCAAATCCAAACATTGACCATTCTTTGGCAGTATTATAGTATATTTCATTGATTGCTATGCATCTTTTTATATATCTGTTTATATTAAAAAAAATTGACCTTCTTCGGTACGCTAATATATCAATAGGTCGGATTTTTTATCTATTATATCTACATAAAATCACGTAAAAATTAAAAAATACAAAATGCGTAGATTCAACAGTTAGAAAAACTTGGCTTACCGATACGCCAGATGTATCAAAAATCCTCCCTATACAAAAATATTAGAAATTAGCATTAAGCTCGTGTTTAAGAAGAAATACAAAATGTATGTTGGTTTATCATATTAGTCACCTCCAACAGCCATCAAAAGATAGGCGAGGTACACCTAATTGTTGATCAAATGTTTAAACAAATGATCTGGCATATGTTGGTCTTAACTATAGTTTGACTGGTTTTTTTTTTTTTATTCCTCATTGGAAGACACTTTAAATAATATTGGGATTTTTCCCCCCTTTTTGGGAGAGAACACCCGGTACTGGGAGTATATGTGTGAAACTATAGCAGATTTTGATGGTTTGAATTTTTTTTGGGATATTTATCTTTTTATATTCTGTGTTTTAGGTTTATTTAAAATCTATATCTTCGGTTTTTGATATCATTAAATGTATACTTTTAAATTAGATTCAATACCTAAAATTATACCGTTCTACAGTCAATCCTCGATTTTATTTTCAAAATACCTAAAATACCCTTGAATAAAAACATAAAAAGAGGAAAAAAAACCTAAAAAACTTTAAACTTACAATTTTGACCTCTAAAATATGAAAAATATCATTCAAATGGGTTTTTTGTGTTATTAATTTTTAATTATCATAATATTGGAAGGTTTTAGTGTTTTTTTTTTTTCCTTTTTCTTACGGATAGTTTAGTTATTTTAAAGGTCAAAATCAATTATTGACCGAAATAAGGCATATATTTGTATATTAAATCTAATTTGAAAGTATACATTAGATGAGATCAAAAACTGAAAGTATAGATTTTGAATAAACTTAAAACACATATAAAAATATAAATATCCTATTTTTTTCCTACTGATACATACTATTGTTTTAGTTATATTTTCAATAGAATGTTTTATAATGGGAGTAGTTTTACATCGCATGTTGTAAATTTTTAACGTTACATTATTGAAAATTTAATCGAACGGCTAAAACAATAGTATATACTAGTGGGAAAAAAGGAGAACTTCTACCGTCGAAATTCCCAAAACTATATTATTATTATTTTTTTTTTTTTTTTTTTTTTGTTTCTAAGAAGAAAAAGACGCAGAGAGAGATCAGAGAAAAGCTAACGTCATAGAACAATAGCACATCATAATTATTTGTCTGATCATGATTTAAGTAAATCTAAACAATTAAGGTATAGTAAAGTTAATTCATATAGTAAAATGAAGAGATATGCCCTATACGTATAATGTATAGTTTAAACCATTAGATTTTCGTTAGACTATTTAATGAGTAAAATTTACATATTACTATATTATATGATTTTGACGTGATTCAACACATCCACAGACACACAGGACACTAGCTAGTAAGAAAACCACCCTAGAGGTGTTATTATATAAATGAATTGTTATATTGACGTTGGCTCTTGTAAGATGTAATGATTTCTGGTTATCTATATAAACCTGAAGAAGTTAGTAATGTTGGGGACAAAGAGTGGTATTTCTTCTGCATACGAGGAAGAAAGTACAGGAACAGCATAAGACCAAACAGAGTAACGGGATCAGGATTTTGGAAGGCAACAGGCATTGACAAGCCCATATATTCTGTGAAAGAGCCTCACGATTGCATTGGTCTCAAGAAGTCGTTGGTTTATTATCGTGGGAGTGCCGGCAAAGGCACTAAAACTGATTGGATGATGCATGAGTTTCGCCTCCCTCCAAATGGGAAAACTACTACTGCTGCAAACGTCTTTCCAAATACCAAGGAAAATATTGGCAATTACCAAGAAGCTGTAAGATTAATCTACCCCATGTCATATGTGTGATCTCATTCTTTCTTTGATGTGTTGCTTTCTCTTCTTAATTTATTTATTTATTTATTTATTTTGAAAGGCCTTTTCTCCTTAATTCTGCTAGCTAGCTAGTCGTTTATAATTGTTATAAGGAAAAGGTTGTTTTGATCCCTATAACTAGATATACATAATTAATTAAAAGCAATAATATTAGAAGTCCCAGTGTCTAACACCGTATACTAATAGAAAATGAGTTCCGCGACACTTAGATATAGTTTCTTTTTTTTTTTT